CCCTGCTTAGGGATCCCAGAAACCAACAGGCAAGTACTCACCAGACAGGAGCAGCCCTGCTTAGGGATCCCAGAAACCAACAGGCAAGTCTTCAACAGGCAGGAACAACTCTGCTTAGAAATTCTAGAAAACTTCCCAGTTGCAGATGCACTTAGGAAGCAGTTACAGTTAAACCTCCATGAAGGAAAAGATTGTTTGAAATAAACAGCTTTGGTGATCAGGCTATGTCACAAAAATTATGACTTTGTCAAAATAACTGGCAGAAAGGCAGTAAGTTTGGAATACAGGGTTCTAGAAAGTTTGTGTTTTTTCTCAAAGCCACCAGAGAATTTTTTTTCTGTGACAAACTGCAATTTTCTTGGTAAGAAGATGAATCCTATGAATCCTGACTACAGCTACTTCTATAGTAACAATGAGACACATGGGGTTAATCACATTAAGATAGTGTATAACGAGTTTCAACAAACAGAAAATTAGAATAATATTACATATAGTACAAAGTGAATAATTAGCTCATAACATGTTAAAGTGGCCCTTGCATGAGTTTAGTGGAACTTTAAACTTATTTCTCTCTGAATTTTTATTCTGCCCTCCTTTGTGAGTGGGCATTTCCTCGGCCTGGCTTTTCTCATGGAAAAGAATAGCTGCTATCAGAAAGGAAGAACATATTCATATTCTTCATGTTCATGCAGAAAGATCATTCTCCCTACAATTTATTAAATAACTCAAAGTCATATCTGTATTGGCTCATTGAACACTGCTGCACAAGGAGCGTGGTTTTGAAGACTAATCAGAGGCAGCAGGCAGAGCTGAGAGTCACACCGATCCTTACTATGTGGAAGAAGCTGTCCAGTAGAGAGAAATCAAGGAAAGGATGTCTATAGGTTGTAAAGGAAAAAGGATGTGAACAGGAAGTATGGATGCTACAGAGGCAGCCAGCAAATGCATGGAAAGAAGACACACTTGCCACTGTCCAGACAGGAAATGGCAAAAATTTGAATTTCTACACAGAGTGTAGAAACGGTGCGGAGGACAGTTTTGAGAAAGTGTCAACTGAATGAATATGACAGGTGTGAAACAGGGAGAAATGAAGAATGACTTTAGATTCTGTGATTTAAGTTCATGAAAATTCGGTATTGGCGTAAGCTGAGGTAGAAAACCAGAAAGATTAAAATAAAAAAGCAGAGAAAAAGGTAGCATATTGGTGTGTGCATGTCTCTAAATTGGAATGCTTAATAAGAAATTGAATAGATGGGTATGGATTTTTGCATATTGATCTTGTCTGAAGCCAAACAGGGATAAAATTCTTAGGTAGGTATTCAGGCATTAGCAGGCATGGAAAGCCGCTGGGGACTGAGCCTTCCCTCACAATCACCTATGGCTCCACCTCCTATTGAGCTGGTAATATATTGATCTTTACTTTACTCTTTCTTTCTAAAGTAAAGGAAACATGGCACCCTCCATATGAAAAGACAGAAGTGTCAGGGTTTTTCTGGGGACCATAGGTGGTAACATGACATTCTGACCTGCCCAGAACAGGATTCCAGAGTATCTTTTGCCCACTTCCTTAACAATTACTCCAGTTGAACATGCCAGTCCCCTGTCCAGGAGGCTATCTCTCAGAAAGATGATGGATCTGAGAACATGGTAGATTGGGAAGGAATAGCTATGCCCTTAATGAGATTGGTATGCATAGACCCCAGAAGCTTCTTTCATATGATTACTTAAAGATCCTCTCTGCTAAGCCTGCACACTACTCTGAGTTCTAACTGTAAAAAATGTAACATTATTTTCCTCCTTCTTATCTCTTCTTTAGACACCAAAAATTCTTAAGCATGCCTGTCCTAAGACTCTGAATGCTCTCTAATGTGGCCAGAAGTCTCTCCAGTCTGACCCAGCCCTGCGGTCCTGCAGCCACTTATAAAACAATCACTCAGAGGCTTATATTATTTACAAACTGTATGGCCAAAGGCTTAAGTTTCTTACTAGCTAGCTCTATGATCTTAAATTAACCCATTTCTATTAATCTATGTTTTGCCACATGGCTATGGTATAACCAGTCTACTGACATGTTTCTCCTTGGGCCGTGAGCTGGCGTCTCTCTTCACTCCACCTTTCTCTTTCCTGTATCTCTCCTTGGATTTCCCACCTGCCTCTAAACTGCCTTGCCATAAGCCAAAGCAGCTTATTTATTAACCAATAGCAACAACATATATTCACAACATACAGAAAGACATCGCACAGCACTCCAACTTTCTCTGAACTATCCTACACCATACAGCTGCTTGTAGATCCCCATTGCTTAACCTGCCTTTCTTGAACTCTATTTGAAAAAGTCCAGTTTTTTTCTCTTCCTCTCATCCATTTCACTCATCCCAGCATCTGCCAATATTTACAACTTGTCTGTTCTGTTGCTTTTCCTCGCAGACTTTAATAAAACAGTCTTTGTACTTTGTGGTATTTAATATTGATTGTCAATTTTGCAGGACCTAGAATTACTTAAGAGACAATCTATGAGGCATGTCTGTGAGGGAGATTCTAGAGTGTGATAACTGAGGTAAAAAGGCCCATCCTACACATGGATAGTGCTATCCGATAGCTTTGTTTTTAGACTGTATAGGAGTGAGAAAGTGAAATAAACATAACCAGCATCCACTGTGTTCTGCTTCCTGATTGCAGGTATGAGGTGACCAGTTGCCTTGAGCTCCTGACCTTATGACTCTGTCATCATAAACTATACCCTGGAACTGTGAACTACAACCAACTCTTTTTCTTTAGGTTGTTTTTGTTAGTTGTTTTGTCGTAATAGCAAGAAGAGTAACGAAAGCAAGTTTTCCTCTAAGTCTATTTATAAATTTCTTTATGGAACTAAGAATCCCCAGAATGGAGCCCAGTTCCCCAGTAACAAAATTAAAGATTAGTTATAATTCAAACAAAGGTAGTAAATGAGTTGTACAGTGCTGGATTTGTTGAGTGAATCAGAGAATGGGAGTAATTGAATCCCTTCTGAGATACATGTTTAAGCATCACGATCTGATTCTCTTTTCCTGTTTCCTGTGGATCCAGTTATAGAAAACTCAGCTACCTTTCCATCACCGTGTCTGCCTGCATACCACCATGCTTCCCACCATGATGGACCTCTGAACTGTAAACCAGCACCAATTAAATGTTTTCCTTTATAATAGTTGCCATGCTCATGGTATCTCTTCACAGAAATAGAAACCCTAACTAAGACAGAAGTTGGTACCAGGACCTGGGGTATTGCTGTGATAGGCTGGATCATGCTTTTACTTAGAAGAATGTGGACATTGGAACTTTGGATTAGAAATGAATACTTTAAGTGGGGCTTAATGGGCTGTACTAGTAGAAACATAGAAGGCAGTGGTGCTGAGGGTGATTCAAACTGTGAGAGCCCAGTTCAAGAGGTTTCAGAGGAGAATGTTCATATGTGGCCTAGAGATTGTTCTTGTGATATTTTGGTTAAAAAAAATGTGGCTGCTTTTGGCCCTTATCTAAAATTTTGCCTGAGTCTAAATTGAAGGGTTATAGATTAATAGCCCTGGCAGAGAATATTTCCGAACAACCTAGCATTGACTGTGTTGTGTGGTTATTAGTGGCCAGTCCTATCCAGATCTATAATGAAAAGGAGCAAGCTAAGCAAGGAAAAATACAAAATATACAGTTAGAGGAGAAAAGCACAACCAGGAAGTTTAAAGGAGCTAAACCTTGTGTTTGAGGAGACAGAAAGATGAAAGTAAAGCCTGATTGTAGATAGACTAAAGGGAGTGGTGACCTCTGAGCAAGACCTCACCCTGCTAAGCTTCCAACTTGTGAAAAAGAATTAAAGAAAAGTTTAGAGCTGGGTGTGGTCACACATACCTTTAATCCCAGCACTCAAGAGGCAGAGGCAGGTGGATTTCAGAGTTCAATGTCAGTCTAGTCTACAGAGCAAGTTCCAGGACAGGCAAGCATAGGCAGTGAAGGAAACCATCAAAAACTGAGAGCCAATGAAAATGTACTTGAATGAGGGGAGCATGCTCCAGCCCCAGCAGGCAGCAGGACTTGGCAGCTTCGGTCACATGGTTCTGGTTTAGAGTCAAGGATAGAAGAAAGGGTTTATAGACTCTCCCTCTGTGACTAAGGAAAGCTACTGAGGCCAGGCATGTGTCAGGGGTGTCCTTGCATGGAGGCCTAGAGAGACCATTGCATGAAGCTGTGGAGGTGAAGCCTGGATTGTCTCAATGACCCCAAGATGTTGAAGATGCCAGAGTCCTGAGGAGCTAACAGGGACTGGAAATCAGCCCAACATAAAGAAGTGTATTGCAGTCCACAAAGCTGAAAGGAGTTGGAGCTCTGAAGATGCAGTTGACATCAGATGTGGAGCTGCAGAGTTTGGAGTTTGCCAGCTGGCTTTCAGTCTTGTTTTTGTCCAGTATTTACTCACTACACTCTCCCTCCCCCCCTTTTGGAACAGTTTCACAATTGAAAGCTGATTACACAGGTAGTGCGTGCTTACCTCCCAGGCCCAGAAAAGCCCTAAACTGGAGCTTGGATGGCTTCTTCTCCCTGGACAGAGGACTTGAAATATCTCTTTAGCCTCTGAGAGAATACTCACCTCCATTTGATACATCTTTTGCCTGGGTGGACCCTAATTTTTCCTCTTGCTGTCTTACACTGCAACCAAGAACATAAATGCCTGTGAGCCCTAAGAGTGTTTCTGATTAATGTGTAGCTTTGTCATGGACCCCTATATAACAACACTCTGAGCCTATGGTACTCATAAAAGGCTGGCTATATGGACCACTCTAAAGAGCCAAAACCCTGCCTGTGCAATGCCAATTCCTACAGCCTCACCAAACCACATCACATTGGACAGAAGCATAACCAGATCAGGTCATATGACCCCTACCTCCATGTCAACCTTAAAATCCACCCCTGTGCTCCAAAGGCTGGGATTATGTGTAAGAGTTCTGCTTGGGAAGAAGTTCACTGTTGAAAAACTAACAACAAAACCTGAAAACTGTTAGTGAAATAGAATGACTTCATGTTATAAAAGGCAATATTTATTCATAGAACAGCTTTGACTGGGGCCCATGGCTGCACAGGAGCCAATGCTCAGTAAATGCTGAGTCCATGGCATCTTAAGAAAGAAGCAAATGCAGAAATGAACTAAACCCTGAGCTAGTTTTTCTTTTGTGTCTTAGCTTTAACAAAGGTGTTTATTATTCGCAGATTATACTGTTATTTGTTTTTGTTTGTACAACACGATGGAAGGTAGAGGTATCTGAGAAAAAGTAACCACAGTCGAGAAAATGATTCCAGAAGACTGGCCTATAGGCCAGCCTGTGAGGCATTTTCTTAATTAGTGATTGATACTGGAAGACACAGTCCATTGGCGGTGATGCCACCCCTAGGATGGTGGTTCTTCGTATGTAAGAAAGCAGGCATGATCAGCAAGCAATGGGGACCAAGCCAGTAAGCAGCACCCCTCCATAGCCTATGCATTAGTTCCTGCCTCGAGTTCCTGCCCTGACTTCCTTGAATGGTAATGTGATGTGACAGTATAAACTGAAATAAATCCTTTTCTCCCCCAGGCCTCCAAAAAGAATCACAATCTACTATTTTTACTAAATGGTGCTTTTTTCTCCGAACGTGTTATGAAGTGAATTCTTCCTCTACATCCCCAAATATTGAAGCTACATGTTTTGAGGAAGAAAAGTTGAAAAGAGGAAGCAACAACACAGGGCTAAGGAAGGGAAATAGATAAGATCTCCTTGGTAAACTGAGCGGGGAGAGGGGAGAGAATGGGTGTGGTGATATTTTATTTGTGCAACCCAATAAAGCTTATCTGGGGATCAGAGGAAAAAGCTAGCCACTATATTAAACATAGAGGTCAGGCAGTGGTAGCACATGCCCTTAATCCTAGCATTCAGGAGGCAGAGATTTACTCCTGATCTCTGTGAGTTCAAGGCCACACTGGGAACAGAGCCAGGCATGGTGGCACATGCCTTTAATCCCAGCATTAGTTAACCATAGAGGTCTGTAGGTCTGTTCAGAGAGACAGGAAGTGATAGAGCTGGGCAGAAAGAGAAAGTGATGTAGCTGGGCAGAGAGAGGAAGTAAGATGGCCAGGCACAGAATGGTATATAAGCATGAGTATACAGGAAGCAGCTCTCTCCTGGGCTGAGGATTTCCTAGAGGCAAGAACATGTGGCTTGGCTTGTTCTATTCCTCTGATCTCTCAGTTTTCACCCCAATATCTGGCTCTGTTTTTTTTTTTTAATTAATAATACTATTTAGCAATTTGTCTTACACATGGTAGATGAGAACATGAGGGAACAGGACAGCCAAGTAGGGGGAGGGATAGAGAGAGAAATCAACGAAAGAGATAACTTGATAGAGGGAGCCATTATGGAGTTAGAGAGAAACCTGGTGTTAAGGAAATTCCCAGGAATCCACAAGGATGACCCCATCTAAGACTCCTGGCAAGAGTGGAGAGGGTTCCTGAACTAGCCTTCCCCTGTAATCAGACTGATGACTACCTTAATTGTCATCATAGAACCTTCATCCAGTGACTGATGGAAGAAAGAAAAGAGCTCAAGAGATGGCGCGCGCGCACACACACACACACACAAAATAAATAAATAAATAATAAAAATAAAAAAAGGAGACCCACATGTTCACACACTCATGAATCCCATAAAACACTATACCATGTAGCATGAATCTTAGAAGTTCTTATTAATAAAATCAAACCTGAGGCCAGTTATTGGGGAGAACACTAGAAGATCAGAGAGCAAGAGCAAGCCACAGCTAACCTCACTTGGCCAACTTCTCAGCTGGTCTTGTTTCCTCAGACTGAATGCTTCTGTGTCCTCATCCCAAATGGCTCTCAGCTGAAATGCTGCTCGAAAGCCTGAAGCTTGACCAGCTAAAAGCTTAACCAGCCAAATGCTTCTAGTTTCTGGTCTCTACGCCTTATATATCTTTCTGCTTTCTACCACCACTCCCTGGGATTAAAGGCTCGGCTTTCTGGGATTAAAGGCTTGAGTCACCACGCTTGGCTCTTTCCAATATGACCTTGAACTCACAGAGATCCAGAGGGATTTCTACCTCTGGAGTGCTAGGATTAAAGGCGTGTGCTACCACTGCCTATCCTTTATGTTTAATATTGTGGCTGCTCTGTCTCTGACCCCAGATAAGTTTATTAGCATGCACAATATTTGGGGGAATACAATACCACAATACTAGAAGCCATAATTTATGCAAAAGAGACCTACAGAGTACAAAGAGAAGAATATATATCATAAAAATAAAAATAATGAGATAAAAATTAAAGAAGGGAACTCTGACTTCCTTATGAGATAAGGAACTTACAAAGATGCTGTTGAATTCATTTCCTGTTGGACATCTATTGCTGGGCATGCAGCCTGCCCTTAAAAATAACCTGTTTCCCCAGTGAGACTCCCTTGGAGGAAACAAAATTTTCATTTGCATGTGGTTATCATTGGAGATTGTTTTTGTGTTCGGGATAGGGGCATGTGTCCATGTATCCTTTCTGCTTGAGGACCCCACCTGGTATAGAAACATGCAGGCCCTGTGCATGCTGCCTCAGTCCCTGTGAGTTCGTAATTACATTGATCCTATTACTTTACAGGACCTTGTTTTCTTTCCTGCCACCTTCCATGATCTTTGGCTCTTACCCTCTTTCCTTCTCCTCTTCCAGAGTCTTCCCTGAGCTCTGAGGGGAGGAATTTAATGGAGACAACCTGTTAGGGCTGAGTGTTCCAAGGTCTCTAACTCTCTGCATATGTCTGGCAGTGGGTTTGTGTTTTTGTTCCCATCTGCTATAGATAGACACTTTTCTGATGATGGTTGAATAAGACACTGATATATGAAAATAGCAGGATATCATAAGGAGTCATTTTATTGATATGATATTTCTTTTAGAACAGTAGTGTTTGGTTTATTCTAGGTACATGGGCTATCTAGTCTCAGGTTCTTGGTCACCTAAGCAGTGTCAGGTGTAAGTTTCTTCACATGGAGTAGGCCTTCATTCAAACTAGTATTTGTTGGTTACTCCCACAAGATTTGTCTCACCATGGCACTAGCATAACTTTCATGCAGGATACCATTATCAACCCAAGGGTTTGTGGCTGGGTTGGTATTCATGTTTCTCCTTTGGTAGTGTGCAAAATACCTTCATGTACTGAACATATAGGGCAAAAGCTCTAGGTAGGTACAAGTTTGACTTCTCCATCTTCAATGAGTTACATAGGTGTTGTCTGCAGCAATGAGAACTTGCCATTGGTTTCTGGAGAGCAACATATAGCCTTGGTAACAGACTGGGTTGTTTAAAGTTTCCCATGGGACCCCTTTGGTGAACAACTCAATTTGATGTAAACTAATCCTGGTATTGGAAGTTTCATTTAGAGATGAGAGATCTCTGTCTCCCTATTTCATTTAGATTACTTTCATATATGTATTTAGGAAGCTTCTACTTTGTTGATATATATTGCCCCTCAGATACCCCTTAATTTTACCTATCTCTGATTCCCTCCATGTCCCCTCTTCCTCTCCTCTTTCACTTGATTCTTCCATTGCAGTCTCCCATCCATCCACAGCGATCTATTCTATTTTACTTTCTGAACTACATCTATCTGCACCCTCTCTTGTCACTTACTTTATACCTAACACCTGTGGAACTCTGAATTATACTTTGGTTATCAATAACTTAACAACTAATATCCAGATTAAGTGAATACATATGGTATTTGTCTTTTGGGTCTGGGATACCTTAGTCACTATGATTATTTTTTCTAGTTCCTTTCATTTACCTGTGAATTTCATTTTTTAATGGCTGAATAATATACTCTTATGTAATTACAATTTTTAAAAACCTATTCTTCTGTTGAGGATATCTAGGTTATTGCAACTTCTTGCTATTATGAAAAAAGCAGCAATGAACATGGTTAAACAAGTGTGTCTGTGGGAGGATAAAGTATCCTTTGTGTATATGTCCAAGAATGTTATAGCTAGACCTTGAAATAGGTTGATTTCCATCTTCCTGCAGACTGAACACACTGATTTCCATAGAGGCTATATGAATTTTCACTCCCACCAGCAATGGATAAGTGTTTGCCTTATATGGTAGTTTGAAATAGCCCCCAGAGGGAGTGGTACTGTTGGGAGGTGTGGCCTTGTTGGAGGAAGTGTGTCACTGGGAGGAAGGGCTTTGAGGTCTCTTGCTCAAGTTTCCCTCAGTGTGAATGTCATTCCAATTCATGTTGCCTGCAAGATGTAGCATTCTCAGCTACTCCTCCAGAACCACATCTGCCTGCATGCTGTGATGCATCATGCCATGATGAGAATGGACTGAACCTCTAAATGATAAGCAAGCCTCCTCAGTTAAATGTTTTCCTTATAAGAGTTGCAGTGGTCATAGTATCTCTTCATAGCAATAAAAACCCTAACTAAGACACCTTACTCCATATTCTCACTTGCATGAGTTATTACTTGTTTTATTGAATTTACACACTCAGGTGAGTGCAAAACAAAATCTCAAAGTAATTTTGAGTTGCCTATCCCTGATGGCTAAGGATGTTAAATGTTTCTATAATTTTTTTTCAGTCATTTGAATTTCCTCTATTGAGAATTCTCTGTTTAGATGTAAT